TAATGTTACTTCACTTGAGCACACACCACTCTTTTTTTGTTTTGCTTCTTTCTTTTTTTTTTTTTTCAGTCATGGGGCTTGAACTCAGGGTCTGGGCTCTATCCCTTAGCTTTTTTGTTCAAAGCTAGCATTCTACCACTTTGAGTCACAGTGCTACTTCTGTTTTTTTTCTGGTGGTTAACTGGAGTCTTATAGACTTTTCTGCCCCAGCTGGCTTTGAACTGTGATGCTCACATCTCAGCAACCTGACTAACTAGGATTACAGGTGTGAGCCACTGGTGCCTGGCTAAAATGGCTTTTTTGTTTTTGATTTTTTGCCAGTCCTAGGGCTTGAACTCTGGGCCTGGGCGCTGTCCCTGAGCCTCTTTTTGTTCAAGACAAGCACTCTACCACTTGAAGCCACAACACCACTTCCACAACATTCTTATATCCCCTTCAAATTTAAAACATGTCTTTATTATAGTCTGAAATTGTTTGTCATTCATTCTTATTAGAAAAAACAGTAAAAAATAAAAGCAAACTTTCTTTTTCTGATGATACTGGTGCTTGAACTCAGGAGCTCATGATTTCTAGGCAGTACCCAATCACTTGAGCTATACCCTCTAGCCCTTATTTTTCAGGTAAGGTCTTATATTTTTGCCAGGTCATGTAACAGGCCATGGTCCCCCTACCTACAGTCTCCTGCATAGCTGGGATGATAGTACATAGCACCATGATCACTATGCCTCATGAACTTTTCCCCTGGGTTGGACTTGAACCCAATAACTCCTCCTTCTCCACATCCACAGTAACTAGGATTATAGCCAGTATACCAAGCTACAGAAGGCAATTTCAGTGCCAGGTACTGGTGGCTGATGCCTGTAATCCTAGTTTCTCAGGAGGCTGACATCTGAGGATTGCAATTTGAAGCCAGACAAGCAGGAAAGTCTGTGAGACTCTTACCTCCAATTAACCAGTAAAAAGCCAGAAGTGTGTAGCATAAAAGCTCAATGATAGTAGTCAGGCCCTGAGTTCAAGCTCCAGAACTGGCATGTGCACATGTGTGCACATACACATACACTCGCGCACACACACACACACACACACACAGAAACACATTTTCAAAGTTTCCAACAGTGATGATGAGAGAAGTCCTACAGAATGTTCAAAATCTGGGGAAGGTAGGTCAGACTAGGCCTTTTGTTTAAGCTCTAAAGATAGCATGGTATAAATGAAACTGTGGAAGGGTACAAGAGATGCATATTAGAATGAGACCAATAGAGAATTGAAAAAAAATTAAATGCTAATTTTGGAGTGTTTTATGGTGAATCTTATTTTGATGAGTTAATGTAGTATTTGATATATGGACATATTACTTGGTGTACATTTTTTTCCAGTTCGGGGCTTGACCTCAAGGTCTGGGTGATGTCCCTGAACTTTTTCAGCTCAAGGCTAGCACTCTACCACTTGAGTAACATCTCCACTTTTGCCTTTTTGTTGGTGAATTGGATGTGAGGTTCTTGTGGCCTTTTTTGCCCAGGCTAGCTTAGAACTTTCATCCTTGGAACTGCTATCCTTAGATCTCAACCACCAGTGTCCAGCTTCCACCTGCAGTTTTCTAAACATATCTTAGTTCTATGGCTTTTTGTTATGCTAATTTGGTGCACATTTAATAACTTTGTTTTAATGCCATTACTGGGGATAGAACTCAGGGCCTGGTCCTTAGCTTTATCACTCAAGGCTAGCACTCTATCACTTGAGCCACAGTTCTACTTCCAGCTTTTTGTTGATTAACTGGAGAGAAGAGACTCACTGACTTTTCTGCCGAGGCTATCTTCAAACTAGGATCCTCAGGTCTCAGTCTCCTAAGTAGTTAGGATTACAAGTGTGAGCCATTGACAGCTTTTTGGAAACAAATTTTCTGTTATTATTATTATTATTATTACTATCAATTGGAAGTGGCGCTGTAGCTCAAGTGGTAGAGTGCTCGCCTTGAGCTGAAGAGCTGAGGGACTGCGCCCAGGCCCAGAGTTCAAGCCCCACGACCGACCAAAAAAAAAAAAAAAACAAGAATACTATCAATGGTGGAGCTTGAACTCAGGGCCTGGGCACTGTTCCCTGAACTTTTTTTTCAAGGCTAGCATTCTATCACTTTGAGCCACGTGCCACTTCCAGTTTTCGGGTAGTTAACTGAAGATAATGGACTTAATTGCCCAGGCTGGCTTTGAATAGTGATCCTCAGATCTCAGCCTCCTGATTAGCTAGAATTATAGGCATGAGCCATCAGCATCTAGCAGCTATCTTTTTTTGAGACAGTCTCATTATGTTGACTTCATTATTCTGGCTGCAAACACATATGTAGCACAAAGATCAGTTTCAAACTTGACATCCTTCTACCTCAGTTGCCCAAGTGCTTGTCCCACCCCGTCTGGCTTCTATATAAGCTATAAGCAATGAAAACTTATTTTACTTCAATACCGTGATCATACTCTCTAAACATTTTGGATGTTCCTTGCTAATTCCTTGACAATGAAAATCTGGTTACAGTATTCAGCTCTATTAAGTAGTCTAGAAATTGACTAGCTCAGCCACATTAATGAAGAATAGTCTGAATTATGAAAATGCATTTTTTTGGTGGCAGTTTTGGAGATGGATCTCAGGGCTTTTAAAATGCTAGGCAAGGGGCTGGGAAGTTGGCTCAGTGGTAGAGTGCTTGCCTTGCATGCATGAGGCCCTGGGTTCGATTCCTTAGCACCACATAAGAAAAAAGAAAAAAGCCAGAAGTGGCGCTGTGACTCAAGTGGTATAGCGCTAGCCTTGAGCTGAAGAGCTGAGGGACAGTGCCCAGGCCCAGAGTTCAGGCCCCATGACCGGACCCAAAAAATAAAAAATGCTAGGCAAACATTCTATCTCTGAGCTATGTACTCTCAGGCCTTGGGTTTTCGTTTGATATATTTGGGGTTTTATTTTATTTTTTTGGTGTTACTTGTATTTTTGAACTCAGAACCTCATGCTTATTCTACCACTTGAGCCATGACCACAGCATTTACCTTTGGTCTTTTTGTTTTGTTTTGTTTTAATCGTGGGGCTTGAACTCTGGGCCTTGGTGCTGTCCCTGAACTCTTCAGCTCAAGGCAAGTGATCTACCACTTGAGCCACTACACCACTTGTAATTTTCTGGTGATTGATTGGAGATAAGAGTCTCTCAGACCTTTCTGCTCAGGCTGGCTTTGAGGTACAATCCTCAGATCTCAGCCTCCTGAGTATCTAGGATTACAGGTATGAGCCACTGGCTCCCAGCTACCGTTGGTTTTTGAGACAAGGTCTATGTAATCCAAGTTGGCCTTGACCTTGTGATCCCCCTGCCTCAGTGTCTAAAATGCTAAGATTACAGATTTGTGCCACCAAGAGCCCAGCTTCCCCACTGCGTATCACTCTGACATTTCCTGTCTCATCTTCAAAATACTTTCTCTAAACTGAGTGCTGGTGGCTCATGCCTATAATCCTAGCTACTCAGGAGGCTGAGATATGAGGATTGCAGTTTGAAACCAACCCAGACAAAAAAGCCTCTGAGACTCCTATCTCCAGTTAATCATCAAAAATCAGGAAGTGGAGCTATATAAAGTGGTTGAGTGCCAGCTTTGAACAAGAAAGTTCAGGGACAGCACCCAAACCTGAGTTTAAGCCCCAGGCCCGTCTCCGCCCCGCCCCCCCCGGCAATTCTCTGTTGTTGTAAGTCTGCTTTAAAGAAATAACAAAATAGTTTTCCTGAGCCAAATATACATCATGTCCCTGAAAACAGAATTCAAATCATCCTGAAGAACATATTCCAAGTTTTTCCTCTTTCTAAGAGTTAGAGAAAAAGAATATAGAATCCAGTGAATGAAATAGTAGTACATGTTTATAAAATGAAATTTTAGCAACTTACTGTGCAATCTGAGAATGGGATATCTCTAGTCTTTGGTCAGCACATTTGATAATTTCTTCATATGATGTTACCTTGAACAACACAAGCCAAACAGATTATCCTTTGATAAATTCTGGTATCTTTATTGGACTTGTTCTTTTGTGTTTTTTCAAATCTTTACAAGTTGAAGTTCAATTATTTAACTATAATCAATAAAAATTTTACAACAGATAAAAAAGCATCCTCCTTGTATTTAAAGATCAGGAAAATGATTTTTGCCTGTTCATTACGCAGCAAAAGTTCCAACAAATGACAACACTAATACATCAACTGTGATCCAGTGATCTTCCACACAGTGGTGTGTCAACTGAGGAATGTAATCTAGTTGCTCAAAAGAAAGAAAAGAAAGAAAGAAAGGCAGGCAGGCAGGCAGGCAAGCAGGAAGGCAGGAAGGCAGGAAGGCAGGAAGGCAGGAAGGAAGGAAGGAAGGAAGGAAGGAAGGAAGGAAGGAAGGAAGGAAGGAAGGAAGGAA